GAAGTTTCTTTATGTCCTGGCCAACTCACCTTGCTACATTCCACAATCATACTTCCATAAAATCAACTATATCTGCGTATCTTTTGTATGGCAAGGATGTAGTCGGAGAGTGGCTCTGGAAGTATTGCAGCTTGCTCACTCGTTTTCCCAACCTTCACTTGTACTTTTTGGCGTCCCAGCTGGTGGTGGTGGTAGACGGTTGGTCACTGACAAAGGAAATGCCAGCACTGTGACCCGAGCGGCCATTCTTTTTTTTTTAACAGGTATGTCGAGCGGCCATTCTTACCTCTTTTGAATCCTCATATATAGTATAGGCCTCCGCTCCTCTTCTTGCTGTTTTAAACACTCTGCAGAGAGGGCAGAGGGTTTCCACTCATTTTGGTATTGTCCTTCATACATGCCTTTTGGTCAGAAGGGACTGTTTTCTGGAGACGAATCTTGGCCTCCTAAATGTGTGAAACCCGTCATTTTGCCTTTTTTGGTTTATTTGGGGAGTTTAGATTCTGGGGTTGCGCGACTTCTTCATATTCTCTTTTTTTACGCAAAAAAGGCCATTCTTTTGCAATGAAGTAGTACAGAGGCTCCTTCCCCGAGTTGCTGGAAACGTTTAATAGATCAATCTCTTCCTTTGTATAAGATAACATATGAACAGATGAACAGATCGGTAACCCGCAGCTCTTTGATCATATATGCGGTTTATGGCTAGCGTCTACCAATACGATTGTTGATTTGCCCTGAATATCTTGACAGTGCAGACTTTATCCTATAATGGTTTGCTACTCAACTGATATGTGTGCTATACCTGTGACATTGCCCTTTTCATTTGAGTTTTACTACTCTCTGTATATGAGACAATGTTGCTTGTGACTTTCATTTTGTCAGTTAGTGTTCTTTAAAGTATTTTTGTATTGCGTTTATTGCAAATTAATAAAAATCATCTTAAAAAAAAAAAAGAAACCTTGACAGAGATCACCATCAGACAAAAGAACCCTTATGAAGAATTCGAATAGAGGAGTAGCTCTTGGAGCGAAGAGACCTCAGCTTTTCCTAAAGAAGAAAGACCCTGGACAGGACCAAGTCCAAGACCAGACCCAGGTACCCCAACTGATGGGTTGGCTCTAGGGTGGATTTCTGAAAACTGAAGATTCAACTGGGCCTAAGCAGAGTTTATACTGCGCTCAGGACATTGGCCAACAGGATATGGCCAATGTCCTCAGGGCATACTTTCAGAAGATTGTCTGGGCACCCAAAGAAGTGGTTTCTAAGAGTGAAGCAAAGCCAGGACAAGGACTAGCACCTTGGTGCAAACCAAACGTGATATGTACAGGCCAAAAGGAAAAATAAACTGAAAGTGTTGAGAAGCCAACAGCAAAGTGTAGAAAACGCTGGAGGGGTGGGGAAATTTAAATGTGAATCCTTGATGTCCACTGAGGCCAAGATGTCCCCATGTTGAAGTGACTACCACTGACCTGATCAATTCCATACTGAATTTTTGAACCCAAAAGAACCAATTGAGGCACTTCAGGTTCAGGATGGGGCAAAGGCTTCCATTTGGTTTGAAGAATGTAAACAGTTTCAAGTAGAAACCCCATAGCTTCTGCCACAGCAGAACAGGGGCGATGACTCACTGCAACCCTAGCTGAGCAAAAGCAGCATAAAGGTCTGTCCACTTCTGCAGGAAAGGCATGAAGTGGGAAAAGGGTAGAGTCCAACACTCCAGTTTGTATACTCTGGACATGACACTCTAGATATAGAGGTCCTGAACTTGACAGAACCAGATGTGCATCCCCCCCACTTTGCAAGTGGGGTCACCCCCCTTACTGCAAGGAGGGTTTGGTCCCAGAACTAAAGAGTTTGGCGGACCAGGTCGTTCTGTGAAATAGAATGCCTGGCTTAAACTTGGAGCCAAGGGACTGAGAGAGACAAAAGGAACCATACATTTCCAAAATGCTAGACTTTCTTGCAGGGGCACTTAGCTTCTTATTGGGGAACATCCTTTCAATCACTTCTTGCAGGGAACCTCCACAGACCAGCATTCAATGCAGAGAATTCTTCACATATGAACTGAAAGGAGGTTTATCCTAGAAACTGGATTAACTATACAACACCAGTTCCAACAATTAATGAACAGGTCTCGGTGAGGTACTACCTCTTTATCAAGCTCGGGTAGAACGGAGCCGATCTATCCAAGCTTGATATCACGGAGGAAAATAGCGACGCGTTTCGAGGTACATTGCCAACACCACAGGGGGATCCCTGGTTCTCCTCTACACCGCACATAGCCTGCATTTCTCCAACGGCACAACGGACGAAGTCCCCTCTTCTTGCTCACAACCTCCCATGGATGTACCTCCCTGAGCAGCACACCAGCCAGAGTCGGACACACATCACGAGTGTCCCGATCCTCCAGTTTGGCCGCCCATCTCCGGATCCCGGGATTCACGCGTAAGGGCCATCACCTTGAGTTTCCGTTATATCTTCTTTAGCCAGCCAGTGTTTTTGCGCCCTCTTTTGTTCTTTTGATTATCTGCACTCACAGGTTCTCCTCCTGTTTCCCAGGGCTGCATACATGTCTGTAGGTTAACTTTTTTCCATCCGAGAGCGCTGTTTATGTTTTTTCTATTATTGACCCACCTTGGATCCACCTGATGCTCCACACCAACCTATTCTGCTATCAACACAAAACATTCCATAGCTATAACAAATCACTGCCACTGCTAAAGAGCTGGTCTGTGACAGTTAATAGTTCAGTAACTAATACATTTATACATTTGTGCCAGCTGTAAAGCATCACTGTCTCTTAACAGTAATAGTCAAACTACGGGCTTGGCTCAAGTTGTCTTGCCACATATACTACACAGTAGAGCAGGTACGTAATGTATAAACTGCAAGGGTTAAGTGCTTGTTTTTGTCTAGGTGCTAAAATAACAAAATTAGACTCAACTGAAACTCCAAGCCAGCCAGCTGTCACAGCGCTCCCTCCAGCCTCTCTCCTCCTCCCTGCAGCATTGGAATCTTCTTCAGCGTCCTCACATCTATACACCATGTAAACTGCGCTATATAAATCCTGTATAATAATAATAAAGACGCTAATGATTTACGGGGCTTTAGACTATTGCAGAGGAGGGGGAGAGATGATAGAAGGACTGGTCTAAAAAGAAGCCAACTCGGAGCTTCAGGTGAGTAACTTTTTTTTCCCTAGACATTGGAGTTCTTTAATAAAACAAACCGTGAAAAGAGGTCACCTAAACTACACCCAACACCACATCCCTTGCTTGCAGAGTTAAAAATAATGAAAGTTGTGACCTAGCATATCTTTTTCCAGCTTCTGGCTCCCTATGCACACTTCATTTTGTACCACAGAGATCTTCAACTCTTGGCACAAAGGCATAAAATGTCCTTGGTCATAAAGGGTCAGTCACGCGAAAAAAAAAGCAAAAGATCCACATGCAAATAAACATGATGTACATACAATAAACTTGTAAAACTGACAGGCTTTAGGTTTATTATTCCTACCAGAGTACTTACATGTATTACTCTTTACGTCATAGAGACGCAGTTAATGTAATCATGCTTTGGTGTTTTTACTGTATGAGTTATGTGAAAAACATCTCCAGTACAATGCATGCACGGGAAAAAAAACAAATAAATCAAATGTGTAAGAAAATGTGCTCAGGGAAATTCCTTCAATTAATGCCAACATTTAACTTCACACAGTGATTACTGAACAAAAAAACATGGAAAAATTTTGTTTAGAGAATGGAGTTTAAACATTGCTCTACAAATAGCCTTGCTGCAGGTGAATGCTCCAAGCCGCCCAACCTGATAATAAAGGTACCTGCAGGCATTCAATGGCAGTCAGATGTGCAGGCACAATCCAACCACCGAAAGATCTTTTCACAACATTCTAATCCACCGGACTGATTGGGCAGGTACAGAACATACAGATCAATACAGCAATACATCTTTAACTATTTTACTTGCTTCTTCTTTTGCAATGAACTAGTTCAAGAACCTACATTTGACTTGATTGCAGGCCCTGGGACTGGGAGAGGGAGGGACAGTAGTATGAGCTAATCTGGTAAACTGCACGCAAATGCCCCAACAATGAACAGTCTTGATGGCCGGGGGGTGGGACAGGGTGTTGTTTTTGGGGTGTCAGCAGTAAGTGTATTAATTTTTGCAACAAAGAGTGTGGTGTCATCCACCAGGCTATGTGACAAAGCTGTGAAAATCTTAAGACTGGACAGATAGAAATACAAATAGATCCCTTATTAGCATCTAATCAGTGTACATTTAATCGTAACACAGAAGTAGGTTGCCTATAATATGACTGTGATCTTCATAATACAATATGATGAAGCTTTTGACTTGCTGTAACCTACATATTCTATGCATAGTCAATATGTTGAATGAAAAGAGGAGGCAGGGGATATGAGGGAAGGAAAGAGGGGGTGCCGTTGCTCTGTGGCATCCATAAATCCATCCTCTGCTTGGGAGAACTAGGAACGATTTTCACCTCTATTCTGATGTGGAGTAAAGGAGACAATCTGCAAATAAGAATCACTCTTTTGTGATATCTCCCGAGCTGTATGTTACTATTTTATCTTTACTAAACTTTTTTTAGTCAAAAAGTTAAATAAAAATGAAAGTATAAGAAGATAACTATAAAAAGTATGAAAAGCAACCCCATGGGGCTGCTATAGAACATGAACATGTCTATTAATAAACGTTTTCACACAAGATTCATATAACTTTCACCCAGGATTGATGCATTTTTCCAAATGAATCCACTTAGACAAATGTGCAACTCTTAAGTGAAAGCTGTGTCAAGGCAAGACATTGCAGGACTCCTTCCCCTAAACAAAATGGTTATACATACATTGTAAGCAGTTTTAAAAACTGGTACTACATAGTAAAAAAGTGTTTTGTTTTTTTTTATTATTTTTTATTTTACAAGAAACTATTTTAATTTCAGTTTACTGTGTAATGTAACTTACGTTGAACATTCTCAAACATGACAGAAAAAAGAAAATCCCTTGGGGTCATGTAATACTCTCCATCGTACTCCAATGAAGCAAACTGCAAGAAACGCAACTTCCGGAGAGACTGTTTCTCTTGTGCCTCATCTACAATTTCTTCTTTCTGAAACAGAGTGGAAAAAAATGAAATCAGAGCAGCATGCAGAGAGGGGAAACATACACATACATAAAAAGATTTTGACAACCAAATTGGAGAATTTGGATTTCTTGGTTGTTACTGGGATATCCTCCAGGCAGGCTTTGCTCCCTGCATATTCTATATAGGTAGTGTTAATTGGACCATACTTGCAGAGATGTGGAGTGTGGTTTCCACATATACAGTGGAAATACAAAGTATGCAAAAGTCTGCATACCCCTGTAAAAATGCCAGGTTTTTGAGATGTAAAATAAGAAAAACCAGACCAAGATAAATCACTTCAGAATTGTTTCCACCTTTATTGTGACATATAATCTGTGCAATCCAAATAAAACAGACTGAAATCTTTAAAGGGAGGGGGGAAAAATGAAAAGCTTAATGTGATTGAATAAATATGCACACCCATAAACTAATACTTTGTTGAAGCACCTTTTAATTTTATGACAGTATTCAGTTTTTTGGGGTAGGAGTCTATGAGCATGGCACAACTTGCCTTGGGAATCTTTGCCCACTCTTCTTTGCAAAAGCACTCCAAATCTATCAGATTGTTGTCAGGGTTTCTTACCCTTCCTTGTCCAGTTGCTTGCAGTATGGTTGTAGTGTTTCTGACACTGATGTTCCTCTTTGGTGCCTCTTGTGTCCAAACCTGCAAACATTATCACTCTGCTACTGGCAAGAGTCCTGTTTCAGAGTGATGATGCAAGCACCAGTTCACTATTTAACCTTCACCTTGACCATTTAGTCTCCGCCCTTGCGTTTGTTCTGGTCTACCAAGTGCTCGGCAGTTCCTGTACTCTGTGTATGACCCAGGTTACGGCTGATGGATCTTCTGGTTCCTGACTCTGGCTCTTCTTCTGGTGAAAGCCATTCTTTTGCTGATATGAAGGTATGCTTTGGGTTGTTGTCATGAAGAAATCTTCAGCATTTTAGCAGAGGCCTGAACATTTTGTGCCAAAATTGACTGACATTTGGAACTGTCTTTCCACCTTGACTAAAGCCCCAGTTCTAGCTATTGAAAAAAAAGCCCCAAAGCATAATGTTGCCACCACCATGCTTCACTGTGTGTATGGTGTTCCTTTGGTGATGTGCAGTGTTGTTTTTGTGCCAAACAGACTTTTTGGAATTACGGACAAAAAGTTAAACTCTGATCTATGGAATATTTAATGTCTTGGAAATTTTTTGTACCCTTCTTCTGACCGATGCCTTCCAAAAACGAGATCCTTTTCATGCTTTGTAAGCTCTTGGCAGACCATGGCTTTTGCCATATGAAGCAACTGAGTAAATGTGAAAAAACCCTTTTGGAACAGCTGAACTTTATATGGGCTTAATCACAGTTACTTTAATTGATGGCAGGTGCGTACTGACTACTACCGTGTTTCCCCGAAAAAAGACACTATGTCTTATTTTCGGGGGATGTCTTATTCTTACCTGGCTGCAGCTGTCTGGAGCTCTCCGCTCTGATGCCGTCCATGGAGCCTTCAGTCAGAAGTTCCCTGACCTCACTTCGACCCGCGCTGTGCCTGCTGAGAAATGTAGTTTTCAGCGGCAGCCGAGGCAGACAGGTATGTGTGCGTGCGTGCGGGCGTGTGGGAGGGAGGGAGCTGCGGCCGGTCTTGACATGTAAATTTCAAATATATGTGCAGCTACCCCGAAAATAAGACCTAGAGCTATCTTCAGGAATTTCTGTAATATAAGATGTACCACCGAACTAGGTCTTTTTTTCGGGATAGGTCTTATATTACAGAAATCCCTGAAGATAGCGCTAGGTCTTACTTTCAGGGAAACACGGTATTTAACATCAGTTTGAATGTGATTGGTTAATTCTGAACATAGCCACATCCCTGATTATAAGAGGGTGTGTACGCTTATGCAGCCATATTATTTTTTCCCCCACTAAACAATTTTGGTTTGTTTTTAATTGAATTGCACAGATTATAGGTCAAAATTCTGCAGGGATTTATCTTGATCTGATTTTTTTTTTACATCTCAAAAACCTGGACATTTTTACAGAGGTGTATAGACTTTTTATATCCACTGTATCCGCACTGCTCAAACTTAAGCTGTTGTTACTTTTAAATATATTTATTTTAAAATGTGTAATTTATATAAACACATTTAAATATATAAATATAGACCTATTTTACTTTTGCTGGCCAGAAGACACCAATATCAAGTTTAGTGATTTATTTATCTTTGCTAGCAGCTCAACTTCACTCATTTCAAGTTAAGCCACACTTTCAATCCTAAGCTCTGGTCACCTTCTACCTCCTGACCATTTCACCTTCTACCTCCTGACCATTAAAGAACCCATACTGCTGTAACAGGTGCTCTCATTACAGGGGCTTCATTTAAAGTTCTTCCGCGAACAGGACTTAGTGCCTTCATTGAACAGGCACTGACGAAAGTAAAAACATGAGAAGAGGAGAACACAGAAGAGGCTTTTCTGTCTAACAAAGGTTATTAACAGGCACCATGTGCTATAAGACTTTTACATTCGTAAAATGACTGACAAGTTTACTTTAAAGAGGCATTCATATTGTTAAATGCTTACTAGGTCATAATGGCATGATCTTATACAACTCCACTCAAATGCCTCCCTAGCTTTGACTGCTTGGTCAAAATCACCAAAATTCGTTCACAAAGCCCCCCCCCCCCCCCAATCCAACACTCATTCTCTTGAAAAACGTTCCAACTTAGATTTATAGCACATAAACTCCTGAATTCAAAAAATATTTTCTTTAAAACGTGTTTGACTTTGCTCAGTGACACTCCCATAGCCTTCAAGAGAATTTCTATAATCTTCTATCGATTTTCCATTTTAGATCAATTAAGTAGTTACAATTGAAAGCATGCAAACTTTCATAACTGCACAAGGTAAGGGATTTAATTGAAAACAGTGAAGCTGGGTATAGTTCGTGGCAATCTCCCAGAATCCAGAACGGCAGTTACTACAATGAATCTCTAGATACTGTAATTCTTGGGTTGGAAGCTCCATTGCTCAAGACATGAATAGACTTTAAACTAGGGATGCACGGATGACAGTATTTGGGCGAGTACTCTTATTCATCTAAATGCTCCCATACCTTCCTCGATACCATGCCAACAGGAGCACCGGTATCGGTACTTAGTATTAGCGAGTACCAAAAGCAAAATATCGGTACTCGTACTCGATACCGAAAATCCGGTATCGGTGCATCCCTACTTGAAACCTTCAAATGTAACTAATTTTTTTTTAGTTACTAAGGTGGCTGTTCCTTGGAACTATTCCTTTTTCTTGTTATTTCTATGCACAGAAATAAAGATGGGGGGAGTGCTTATGGGCATAGCCAGGAGTGATCTCTGACTGACACTCCAGTTTCACTTACATATGAAGAAAGCTGGTGTTGTCGATTACAGCTAGGATGCCAAAAACCAGCCTATACCATGCAGGGCATTGTGTAGCTCAGAAGAGGAGAAGCTGCCATGATAACATTACACAGTAATGGAGTCTAAATATGCAAGTTGTGGAAGTTCAGCTGCACTCTGAGGAACTGAAAAAAAAGCCACTACGCCCCTTGTGGTTAAATCTTTTCTCCACCAGCTTTAGGTGATGGCTCCTAGTCTTTGTTATGGAGTTTACTGTAAACAGTTTATTGCTGATGTTGCCATCACCACTAAACATTTTGTACATCAAAATCATGTCCCATCTTAATCTCCTCACTTCTAGCATGAACAAGTTCAAATTTAGTAGCCTTGTCTCATAGCTTTGGTCCTCCAGCCCCTTAACTAGTTTAGTTGCCCTTCTCTGGACTCTCTCCAGCCCAAGGACATCCTTTCTGTGGATCAGTGACCAAAACCGAACCGCATACTCCAGATGAGGCCAAGCCAGTGGTCTATAAAGAGGCATATGGGAATGTAATCTGAGATGAATCTGAAAATGTCTGCCCCCCTCACAAATGTAATAACCGACAAGAATGAGAAGAGCATGATATATTCTTCCTAGGGTCTAAAGAAGATCTCTCAGCAATAACAATAAAGCAAAACTTTAAACAATGCAAAAAGCTGGAGTTCTAGATTAAAACAGATGAAGCAGATCTTGTTTCCATTTTTATGGATGCTGAATGACAAGCAAGGTTTACGCTGTATCTTGCCTGAAGTCGTGTAACTTCAGCTGGTCAGTGTACCCGTCACCAAACTGTTCCACCTGCTTTAAATGGACTAATTTATCTTACTTTATCAGCCTCTTCTCTCAGCATTAGGATCAGTCTTACTTCTCTACCCCCTCCAGAATTAAAACTATAAAATCACAACATGTCCTCAAAGACCCCCAAAATTCATCTTCCTGACGCTCTTGGTGCTATGTCATTCTTAAAATCAATGATGACAAACTGTTTTCTTTTTGAGTGCATTGTTCTTCTGAGCAGGTCTGCTTATATAAACAATTTAATGTTATAGACGCAAACCCCAAAAGAAAATTAGGAGATTTATAGAGCCAAGTATTTCGCTAAACAGAAACTTCAGTTTACGAAGATGGATAAAATAATTTCGTTTTCATCTATTATTTTATCTCATGATTACTTATGATTTAACGCATGATCTCCCAGAAATGAAAATATAACTTAAAGTAAAATCAGCATGGCAACCAACTAATCGAATAATCGATTATGAGAATAGTTGTCAACTATTCTTATTATCCATTGGTTGGATCCCCTAGATCTCTCCTCCACGCGATGAGGAGGGCACGGCAAGCAGTGGGCAGTTGCAATAGCCAGACTGCTATTGGCTATTGCAATTTGAAATGGCCAAAAGCAGGCTGGCTATTGCACCAGCCTGCTACCTGCTGTACTTACATTCAACTGCCATCTGCGGAATCTTGCCACTGGCAGCTGAAATTCCCTGGCTGAAGCTATTCAAGCGCCATGTGCTTACAATACAATGCTTGCGGCCTGACAAATTCTGCTGCGGGAGCTACGTTGCAGTGCTATTCA